CTAATTTTTCTATACATATTAGTGTGCCCAATTTAATTTGTTTCTATTTCTAGTAGGAGACGGAAAAAAAAAAAAAAAAAAAAGAGAAAATCAGCAACTTTTAAAAGCACCACGTGAATTTATCCTTGAAACAAACAGCTGAATGGAATCTGAATGAAAAACCGAACCACCTTCTTAGTAAGTAGCAATGTTCCACAATGCATCCTTGTGCCAGCGCCACGCATAACTGCATTAGGAATTCTATCCCTTACGACTAACGATAAAAACAGACACCATTTGGGAGCATCCTTGTTCTGGGCGCTGCGACAACTTATACACATCCTCACCCTATTCTAATGCTCGAAGTAACTCCTAATAAGTAGGTATCATTAGCTCCAGGTCATAGATGAAGAAACTGATTCAGCTGGCTGCCTCTTAGGTTAAACAGATGTCAGAATTTATTCTAAAACTCATCCCATTAACCACCACACCCACCACGTGAAATAAATACACCTGGAAACGGGCTCATTTCAGGAGCCACAGGTGGCCAGGAGCAGACTTTATCTCCCCAGATGGAAAAGTCCACCGAATTCCCTCCGCCCACAGAGCTGGCTTGGCTGCGGGCCCCCTGGGGTCTGCCTGAAAGAGGCCCCAGAGCTTCCCCTACAAGTCCCCTTAGGAACAAGAGCCTGGCATGAAAACGTCTGCATTTAATCCCCTCCCGGCCCCTGGGATGGCTCTGCGGCAATTCAGGTATTTGAATTGCCGAATTCAATTATTACCGGAGCCCAGATTATCCTTTGAATGAGTCCCCACCATAACAACTGGATAATGCAATTTGGCTGGGACAGTCACGAGAAAAAAAATTCTTCTTGGTTTCTGACACAGCTGGTTCTACGTGGCAGACTGCAAAAGCAAAGACGCTTTGGATAAAAATCATGCAAGCAACAGGATGTGATACGGTCAGACCAAAGCTGGGAAAAGACGCAAGCCTGCTCCTCAGAGAAGATGCTGGCAGAACACCAATACCTCCACCCCCAAGAGGGAGGTGACGGGGACAAGCTTCAGCGGGGGCACTGACAACCTAGCCGGAAGGTAAGGAGGAGGAGAGCAAGAAGGGAACAGCAGAGAGGGGGGATGAGGTGGGGGATGGGAGGGGCATTCCCAGCAGGGCCAAGAGCAGGGAGGGAGGTTCAGTGCAGGTACGGAAACCCAAGACCACATGAGAAGGTTGAGCCCAGGGAAGGAATAAGACTCCAAGCAGAGTAGGCCAGAGAGGGCTGGAACAGCAAGAGAAGGGAAGGCCACCGAATGCCACATCAAAACATGCAAGTCACATGCATGCACACAAGGCTCCTAACAAGCATTGCCACCAAGTGGACAGAGCTTGCTGTTATCTAGCCTCAAGTCACCCGCTTTATCTTGACATCAGTCCTCCTGGTCACCAGTGACTGAACCCTCTGTCCGGGAGCAGGGATTCAAAGAGCTCTGTCCAACACTGTTCTTCTCAACCTTTCTGTCCCAGTGTTAAAAACACGTAATCATCTCATACGACCTGGTGCTTAGTGCCAGAGTTGGATTCTTATACGGGGTAAACGCTTAACAATAATTTAATAACCCTGTTAAGTTTACTTGCAAGAATTAGTTTTCTACTTCAAAATACATATAATACATAAAACTGGAAAAAGACAAGTGAAACTTACAAAACTTCTTAAATTCCATCCCTGCCTGAGCTCAAATGATGGGAGAATGTCTAGAGAGTCCAGTGGAGGTCGTTGGAGATACCAAAGGCCTGACGTTAATCTACAAGCAGGAGAGCCCTGCGAGGCCTCAAGCTAGTATCCGGCCTTTCAGGAGGCAACGTGCGCTCTCGTGGTTTTGTGGTCTTCAACCGTCCTGCCAGCCCAGATAAGTCTGGGTGATCAGGAACCATCTGGTGACAGCGTGCAGCCCAGCTCAGCAGAATCCGGCACGGGGAGGTCAATACCTCCCAGAGACGCGCTCAACTGCTGAAATCTCACGGCTGTGGCTGCTCCATCCTCCCAGGGCCCTGCAAGGGCCAAAGAGCACGGCCCAGGCCAGTGATGAGACATAGCCTCTAGCTGGTCTAATTTGTGAGTCAGAAGGAAAGGGCAAAAAGGGGAAAACTTTCTATTCATCTACTTTTAACACCAGTGGGAGCACTTTGGTGATGTAATATACGCTGTTATTGTCACTTGTGTCCCTCCCGCCTGTAACATTTATGGACTCTGTCCATGCTTTTCTCAAAGCTCCTCATCACAGCAGCCAGCAGCCCTGCATCTGGCTCACTGCAGGCACACGGCTGCTCGCCCACGCGAACGAATGGCAGCAGGGCGGTAAGAGGAAGCTCGGGCTTCCAGGGAGACACTGTCTCTCACCGGGGCTGGAAATCCACTGCCCACGTGCAGGCTAGGAGAGGGGCCAGCCCCAGGCCACAGCCAAGCGGGCACAAAGGCAAAAAGCCGAAAACAAACGGTGCCTGGAGCCAGCCCAACACAGTGACAGCCAAAACGTGCAGGGCCAGAAGCAGGGTGGGACCAGGGAGGGAACAGAAGAGTTCGGAGGGGCTCTTGTGCTCCAACTGCCACCCCACCCCCTGCCCCTGGAGCTGCAGGTGGAACCACCATGCGCCCACCTCTCTGCCAGGATCCTGGGTGGAAGGACACTTCTCAGTGTCCCCCAGCTGGAGAATCAACCTCAGGACAAATCAGGCTCAGACTCTTCTGGACTGAATCGTTTCTGGGCCTGGTATCTGCCATTCCGTGGTCGCCTTCCCCTGCTCCTCTGGAGAGGATGAAGTTTCTGGACACCAGCCTACCTCCGTCCGGCAACTGACAACAGCGAGAGCCCCAAGAGAGCAGATGCCACAGAAATGCTAACCGGGACTCGGAAACATCGATCACAGACCCAGCAGCGGCCTTCGTGACGACAACACGGGCCAACACCCCAGGCCCTGCGGGGACACTGCCGCCCGTCATCCCAGCAACTCTGACAGGCAAGGTTGTTTCAGGCGGCAAGTCAAGGCTGGGAGAGCTGCCGCAAGGGGCAAGTGGGGAATATCCAACATGAGGGCCCCAATGGCTTTCCGGCCACTAGGGCTGGTCAGCAGAAGTCTCTGCTCCTGTCCCCAACCTGCATCCCGCCCTCCAAGGCCTCAGTCACACCTGTCCACCTGAGACACAGCCCAGTGATCTTTCCAACAATGAGCTTCTCCTCCACTCCCTATCAGACGAACTCTCCACCTCTCTGCTTGGTGCCGTCCAACATCTGGCTTCTGTCCACCTCTGCAGCCTCACCACCCTCTACTGCCCCCAAAGCCCTGCAGAACGATGGGTTCTCCCTCTTCCCACCCATTTTGTCCTGAAAACTACTATTCCCTTGGCAAAGCCCTGGTGTGGCCTGTGGGTGGCTGAGACGCTCCTCCCCAGAGAATGGCCAAGGCCTGGAGTGCCCGAGCGCTGCAGCCAACCGCCAGCCTACCACTTCAGCAGTCCCAGGACAGGCCCGAGTGAGCGTGAGCCCCGGGGCCCAGCACTGCGGCCCCCAGGCTGCCTCAGCACCCAGGCCTACAGGAGACAAAATGTTAATATCCGCCGCTCTACTCTAGCACTGGTGGGAAGGAGGCATTATTTAGTGAAAATAAGGGCATTTCTCCGTGCGACCCCCAAACTTGGAAAATCCCAGCTCTCATGCAACTTTACGGTCCCTCTAGTCTCCCTCCCCCGGCCCCCTTTCCCTGAACGTCCTAAACCTTCAGTGAAGATGCATCACTCGCTCCGCAGCCCAGTCACGGCCACGGGTGCCCACATAGTCCGCACCTCGGGGAGCCGGCGGGGCGCACGGCCGGGTCGCGCGCCGCTGGGCAGTCAGCCCATTTCCCATGAAAAACGGAACAGACCCGCGCCTGGAACATCTCTCAGTGCTTGAGCAGTAATGTTTGGGGGGACGAAGACCCCAGGGATCCCCTCTGCCTTGATCACCCGGGAAGCTCACCAGTCCGGCGAGGCGCGGCGCGGGGCGCAGACCCCTCCCCAAAACCCTACACCGGCCCCGCAGGCGGCGGAGGTGTCCCCGCGCGAGCGACGGCCGCGCCCGCTGTCCCCAAGTCCGAGCGGCTGGGACCCGGACCCGCCCGTCCGCCCCCGAGCCGCGGGGGCCAGGGACGCCTTCCTCCGACACAGGGCAGGTGGGCGCGCGGGGCCGGGGCTCGGAGACAGCGGGGCGGCCGCCGGCGGGGGCCGGGGCTCGGGGACGGCGGGGCCGGCGGGGCCGGGGCCCCAGCGGCGAGGGAAGGGCCCCTCCCCCTTCCCCCTGGCGCCGCCCGGACTCCGGCCCGACGCCCGGGGGCGCGCGGGGACGCCGGCGGAAGGACACTCACGGGAAAGGCTACATAGCTTCATCCCCGCCGTCCCGGGGCGCAGGCGGCACCTCCCGGCGCGCCGCTCGGACCTCGGCGCCCCCCACTCTCGCGCGGCGGCCGGCTCCACGGCCCGCCCCTTATCCGCCGTTGGGCGGAGCCGCGCCCCTGCACGGCCCAATGAGTGGCCGTGCTTACCTGGAGCGACGTGCCCGCGGGGCAATCACGGAGCCCGGCCCGGCTGGGGGTGGGGCTCAGGCGGCTCGGAGCGCTTCCTACTCGGGCAGCCTAGCCCAGAGCCCACGACTGCGCGTGCCCAGACGGGAGGCGGGGCCGAGGACCGGTCTGGCCCAGGGGTGGGGTCCGCCTGGGCGGCTAGAAGGCTGCGGGACCGCAGTAGGAGTAGGGTCCGGGGCGCGCCCCTCACCGCGCGCCTTGGGGAGACGAAGTGCCCAGGCCTGCAGGCACCCCATGTCCTGTCCAGCAGGGTTTGGGAGTCAGCATCCCTGGGCTCTAGTCCCCTCCCTTGCAGGGACTCCGCGTGAACTAACCCCCTTTGACCCGGCCTCAGTTTCTCCGTCTGTGAAATAGGGAAGGGTTGGCTCTCGAGCGCGCTAACCTTGCAAAACTAATGGGGTGCAGGAAGGGAGCGACGAAGGACCCACACGTGACCTCCACGCGCGGGGCCCCGCCTCCCCTGATCCGGGGGTGGGAGCTCCGGGTCGGGCCGGCGGGAGTGGGCGGATCCAGGACCGGACACCGCCCCCGGCAGCGGCTGGCGGAGCGCGCGGCTGGAGCTGGAGGATGGGGTTCGCGCCCTCGGCGTCCCGGGCAGCCGCCGTGCCGGCGAGGGCAGTGCGCAGACCCGGCGTGTGACCCGCGTGCGCCTGGGGAGCATGGACCAGGGCCCGGGACGCAGCTCCTAGGCTCCATTCCGCGCCCGGTCTGCTGGGGCGCACGTCGCGGGTCGCAGGCGGGCACGGTCGCTCATGGGCCATGTGGAGTTACTGGGCCACCTGGCCTGGGGCCGGCGTCGGGGCTAGCCGTGTCCTGCCGCGCTGACGGCGAGTCCGCACCGCAGCGCACCGGAGCGCAGCGCCATGGCGAGGGAAGAGTGCAAGGCGCTGCTGGACGCGCTCAACAGGACGACCGCGTGCTACCACCACCTGGTGCTAACCGTCGGCGGCTCGGCGGACTCGCAGAACCTGCGGGGGGAGCTGCAGAAGACGCGCCAGAAGGCGCAGGAGCTGGCGGGGGCCGCCGGTGCCCGGCTGACGGTCGCGCTGCGCGACCGGGGCTTGGTCGCCGAGGAGCGCTCCGAGTTCGAGCGCCTGTGGGTGGCCTTCTCCGGCTGCCTGGACCTGCTGGAGGCCGACATGCGACGCGCGCTGGAGCTGGGCACCGCCTTCCCGCTGCACGCGCCGCGGCGGCCGCTGGTGCGCACCGGGGTGGCGGGTGGCTCCGCGGGCGTGGCGGCTCGCGCTCTGAGTGCCCGCAGCCTCCGGCACGAGGAACAGAGCGACTTCGACGTCGCGGACCTGCGCGAGCTGGAGCGCGAGATCCTGCAGGTGGGCGAGATGATCCACAACATGGAGATGAAGGTCAACGTGCCCCGCTGGGCCGTGCAGGCCCGGCAGGCGGCGGGCGCGGAGCTGCTGTCCAGCGCCAGCGCAGGAGCCTCCTCGGCAGGGATCGTGTCCGTAGAGGAGCGCGCGGGGCCCTGCGACCCCAACAAGGCCCTGGCCGCCACCGTGTTCAGCGCCGTGCTGCTGGCCGCGGTGGCCCTAGCTGTGTGCGTGGCGAAGCTGAGCTGACGGACGCCCAACGCCCGCCTGCCACCCCCGCTCCCTCCCGGGAGACCAGACTCGGGATGGGCTTGGGGTCCGGCTTGTTGGAGGGGATCGGCCCTAGAACCCCGTGTGTGCACGTGTACACGCGCGTTTCAAGCACACACCTGCCTGGGCAGGACCTGCTTTCCTCTCGCCGGCCTGGGAGGAGTTAACTTTGCGCGGGGCGGCAGGGCATTACCGCTAATGTCTGCAGGAGCTTTGCGCCCTATTAATAGAAAGCCGTCACAGTGACCCCAGATCTCTCCGAGTTAATGAGTCGACACGTATGCTGCTGGGCGTCTTTACAGGGAGTCCGGGTTCGGAGCCCAACCCTGCCAGTGTTGCCCCTCTGGGCGCGGGCCAGTTTGAGAAAGGGGATATTTGCTATGTATGTGTGGATGGTGGTTTTGTTTCCTGCACAAGAGACAAACTGCAGTAAGATGTAAGCAGTCTTTATTTACCTTAATCCTTGGGGGCCTAGATTTCGGAGCGTGTGCAGATGTAAGTCCATACAGAGTGCTTTCTCTGCGGCGCGCTGTTGCGCTTCTTGGCAAGAGTTTATCCATTAGTCACCAAAAGCGGCCAGCAGAGATTTGAGGTCGTGAAGCCTGCCACTGCTGCTCCTCAGGGTCCTGACTCTGTTTAGGAAACCAAAGGAGGCCTGGTGACCCTGCGGTCGGCCGCGGGGCTGAATCCACCGCACACACTTAGCTGCGGAAAAGGGCTCTCCCCAGCCAGCCCCGGATGGGGTACAAGGGGGAGCGGAAGCTTTGGGAAGGGCCACATGCTATTTAAACAGGCACTTTCTCCTCCTCTGGGGCTTATTTTCGTTCCCCAGAACTAGACCAGAGTGTTTGATCCTCCTCTGGGGGAGGGCTGGGGAATCCTCTTTGGAGCACTTAATCCTATTTGTCCCCCACGATTTGCTTGCTGGCCAGTAGGAGAGCTGGCTTTGGAGGGGGGTGCCCAGCTCCCTGACCCCATGCGGCCCCACCCCAGCGGGTAATGCGGCATTACCGGCCCTCGGAGGCTTTGAGCCAATCAGCTCCGACACTGGGCTAGAATGTAACAGCTTTAACTTGGGCTTTAAGAAGCTTTGTAAGGAGCTTTTAAAAAAATGATAATCTTCTGAAAGAAAAGTGATGTGACCACATAGTGTACTGTCAAAGCCGTTTTCTTTATAAAGAACTCGGGGCCATGAATCCATACCTGCCAAGGACTCAAACGTAGCACTCTTTACATACTTACTTGGGTTGCTAAATATACATCTGCATCTGTTTTTTAAATATTCTCTCTTTCCCCCCTCCCCCTTTCGCTTCCAAATAAATCTACACTCTCAAGTAGCATCAACTACTGGAACCACAGGTGTAGACACAGAACTGAAGTGGCCCCTAATTCTTTTGATCAGTAAATGAGGAAAGCAACCTGGGTCCCAGGAGGGCGCTTGCTGGGCAGTGTTGCCCCCGCCCACCTGTGGTCCAGAGAGGCCCCCTGCATTCTTGGGGAAGTAACAATGACTGAGGCAAGTTAGATGGATTTAACTTTCTAAAGGTAACTTCGAATAAGATCCAGAAACTCTGGCTGAAAACTGACAAGGATTTTTTTCTTTTTCCTTTTCTTTTTTACCCCAGAAGTGGGAAAGGAGACCAGCAGGAAGAGATTGACAATTTTTCACAGGAACAGCTGGGAGGGCCCAGAGGCTGAGGCACCTAGCGTCAGGGGTGCTGCCTGGCCACTCCCCACTCTGTACCTAGCCCTGGCCCTCTCCTCCTCAGCACACAGATTCCGGCATCTCAGGAAAAATCGTGGGGTCTGTTTTTATGTGTCTCCGATCATGCTTTTTAAAGACCCACAAGGTCTTAAGCCGATTAAATGTTTTGTGACAATAACGGATAAAAGGAACTCCTGCTGCCTCGCCCAGTCTGGGTGAGTCTCAGTAGGAGCCACTTCAAATTCTTTTGCACCTGCCTGCCTAGGGTGCCTTTGGAGCTGACATAGAAAGTTTTTAGGCCAGGCCTAAAAACGACAGGCTCCCAGCTACTCGGGAGGCTGAGACAGGAGGATCGCTTGAGCCCAAGAGTTTGAGGTTCCAGTGAGCTATGATGACACCACTGCACTCTAGCCTGGGCAACAGAGTGAGACCTTGTCTCTTAAAAAACTTTTTTTCCCCCAAAATAAAAGAGTTTTTAAACTCCTTTTATACACAATATAACATAGAATCTGTGTCACCTTCCTCAGAGTCTCTCTCAGGCAAGAGAAGGCTGGGGCATTTTGTGACCCAGTGTTGGAAAATGTCCCTAAAAAACAAGCCCAAGAGGTGTTCTGCTATTCCTAAGACTGTGCCCCTCTGTTCTTATCAAGGTACTTTGGTTCATGAATATTAAAACATTGTTCAGCACAACCTGTTAAAGAAACAGCCCATCAGATGTGTGATCCATTGAGAGCAATGGAATAAACAAGTCTTTTGTTGTCACTGTTTTCCGCCCGATTGGCAGACCCTTGGGTGTTTCACCTGTATTACATGTATACCTGACTCTGAGGGTCCTCTGCTCACTAAAATGAATGTTTAAAAATGTGGCAAAAAAATCTGAATTACAATAAACATTCATGCTGCGGACCTATTAACCTAAACAACTCTTTGAGTTTGCAAATTTTAAGCATTAGAGACATTTGGCATTATTTGGAGTAATGGCATTGCCTAATAGGACTTCTGCCGTGTGACTCAAGCAAAATCATTTTCTGCCTTGTGCAATAGGCTGCTTTCTAGTATCTCTGCTCTCATCTCGATGTATAATTCAGGAGATTGCTTTCTGATAGAAGCTTGATTCAATTTAGATGTTTGATGCTGAAGTCATTAATTTTTTATAAACATTCGGTATGATCTTATTTATACCAGGATACAAGTACGGGGGGGAAAAAAACCCTGAAAATTCAAAATGTGTTAGCTGACAGTGAAGAGACAACAACTTGGAATGTCAACGCTTTTAATCATGGTTACTTTGTTTTCAGAAGAATGAATTCTGAGCTGTTGCTATTAGTAAAATAATAATATTTGTAGGAGAAAAAAAATGACCAGCACATTCTTTTCTGGCTGTTCTAAGGACTTATGCTTTTAAATCCCACAAGGGAAACCATTTTTGGTGAATAAAATTAGAGCGTAAACTTCGTGATTTACCTAAGGTTTACAGTAAGCTACATAAAAGATGTGTGGTATTGCATGGCTAAAAAAAACGATGTGTGACGCTGAATGACTAGGAGGTAGTTTTGGTTAAAGAGAGTTCTGGTTTGCATGAGGACCTTGCTACGTAATGCTGCATTTTCGTTTGCAATGTGCACGTTGGTACGTTGTTAGCTACTCCGTGCTTTTTCAGAATGTACTGATCTGCTCGGAATGCTTTTTAAGGGTGCAAGCCCCAGAGTGTGAGCCCACGTGTCAGCCTGAGAAACAAGACGCTGTGGGGCTGGCCTCTGCATTCCTCTGGCCAGCTGTGACCGGCAGGGGACGCTGCCTCTCTCTCCAAGTACCTCAACAGGTCATTGACCTCCCGGTGCCTCACGTCCCTCATTTGTGAAATGGGGGTCATGACCGATTCACTCAGAGATCCCTTGTAGAGCTTAAAACGTTTAACAAAATGCAGTTAAACAAAACGGGGTTATGTTGTGTGTTGGTCTTGTTTTGTTTTGTTTTGTTTTGATGGTTGGTTTGGGTGCATATTGGAATGGAATCTCATAGCTTGGTGGTTATTGTCTAAAATTCGTAAAAACAACAATAATTTTTTTTAAGATTTCCTATTTTAAAAATCAGAATGAACTAAGCTGACTGTGATTTTAGTACACATCAGAATTAGTAGATACACTTAAAAGCTAACTGGTGTAAATGCAATTTGTTTATAGTATTTACATTTGATTAGGAACTTAAATTCAGGCTCTAAGACTGAGTCTAAGAAAACTTATTACTTACTAAAAAACAGTATTATACAGCAGTCGGGCCAACCTGAACAGATTCTGGGAAATTGCAGACACAAAACGCTGGCATTTGTCTTTGGAAGCTGGCAGGATGGTATTCTGTAAGGACCTCGGAACTCTAACTGCAGAGCAGCCTGGCTGTTGGAAAATACAGACGCAGCCGGGTTTGTTTTCGTGTGCGGCACCAGATCCGAGTTGGAATTAAAGTTTTTGTGTCTCCTTTCTGAATGATGACTCTAACTAGAATATTTATTAATAGGTAAAAAAAAAAAATGTAAAGGCAATTTGCAGCATTTATAACTCAGTGGGAAAAGGCGCCCTTAAACAATGCAGCTATCAACTTGTCATTTTAAAAAAATCATCTTAAGTTTCTTCACGTGGGTTTGAAGGGAAGTGAACGCCCTGATCAACATATTTACCCTTCACAGATATCGTCACATAAGAAGATGTTCAGAAATATTCCAGGATTATAAATCTCCAAGTGCTGTTCTACAATAAGATTAAATTCCACTTTTTAATGCAGAATGGAAACCAAGAAGAATAGGTCTCCACATGAAAGATCTTTGGCTGTGGCCAACACAGATCAAAGCCATATTTCAAATATTATGTCTTCTGGCTCTCAGGAACTGAACAAAGGTAGTTCCAGCCCCACGTCCACGAGGACAAGATGGATGTCTGGAAAAATGTTCTTCTCACCTGTTTTTCATCTCATTCGATAGAGGATGCTGGGTGTTTTCCCTGTAATGCTGAGATCTTGGGCATACTCATTCTTTGGTGTTTAAGTTGAGAATTTTATAAGGTTTATATGATATAAATAAGCCAATATAAATATAATATAAGCCAAATGAGAGTCCCTATTGTCAAAATAATTTAAGGAATCCTTTTAATGTTCTGGTTCCAAAAAGCAAAGCCGAGTGTCCCCTGCTTGTTACGTATGTATTAGGCATACGGAGAAGATTTACAAAGAAATATACAGAAATTAAAATATTTGTTGAGGTGGTAGGATTATGGACGGCGTTTTTCAGTATTGTTCTTTCATGTTGTTACATTGTTTTTAACAATAAAATTTCGAATGTTCTTGTCATCTAGAGAATGTTATTCTGTCATTAAAAATGTAAATTTCAACAGGGTCTCAAGTATAGTAAGAAATAATTTCAGAACTTTCTCCAGAAAAGCAAAGCAAAACACTTCAGAATCTTACCCCAGAGAATATAAACATTTTGAAGTGTGCTATTGAGACAGAATAGTACAGAATTAGGGTTGACTGTGGAATAAGGGTGTACCTGGGATCGGATCAGATCTCACTGAGGAAGGTCCTTAATCTCTCTGACTTCATTTCCTTCTCCCTACAGCAGGAATAATAATAGGGTATTGTCACAGGGATATTGATATAATACTTTTTTCTGGACACAGGGCTCAAGAAAGGCTAGCTGCCACTGCTGTTACTATTTATCATTCTACTTTAAAAACATTCCACTTTAAAATTCTACTTTAAAAATTGGTCGGGCAAAAGAAACAACACACATGAAAACATTTAACTTTCTGTAACTTAGATAAAATCTGCTAAAAACCAGTTTGAAGGTTAAAGCTGGATATACTTGTCAAAAATGAGAGGAGGTCCGTGTAAAGGGAAAAACATAAATGAACCCTGTCCTCCCACCCCAGGCTGCGGCAACCACAGGTCTGATTTCTTTCCCTGTACGATGTTGTCTGGACGTTTCTCCAAATCCGAGTTGAAATCTGATCCCCAGTGTCTGAGGTGGGGCCTGCTGGGAGGTGTTTAATTTAGGTGGGGGGGGGGGGGACAGATCTTTCATGAATGGGTAGGTGCCCTCCCTGAGGCAGTGAGTGCTGACTTACTACTGTGTTTTCCCCGAAAATAAGACAGGGTCTTATATTTATTTTTCCCCAAGAAGACACCCTAGGGCTTATTTTCAAGGGATGTGTTATTTTTTTTATAAGTACAGTACAACAATCTACATTTATTCAAATAGTGTTTTTTTGTTTTTGTGTTTTTGAGACAGAGTCTCACTCTGTTGCCCAGGGTAGAGTGAGTGCCGTGGCGTCAGCCTAGCTCACAGCAACCTCAGACTCCTGGGCTCAAGTGATCCTCCTGCCTCAGCCTCCCGAATAGCTGGGACTACAGGCATGCGCCACCATGCCCGGCTAATTTTTTTCTGTCATATTTTTAGTTGACCAATTAATTTCTTTCTATTTATAATAGAGACAGGGGTCTCACTTTTGCTCAGGCTGGTTTCGAACTCCTGACTTTGAGTGATGCTCCCGCCTCGGCCTCCCAGAGTGCTGGGATGACAGGCATGAGCCACTGGGCCAGGCCGGTGATTCTTGACATACAGGACATTGCTCGTCATTCGTTGGTGAATTTTATTTATCCCCTGTGACATGTCTGGGTTTTCACGCAGGTTAAACCAACTCACCTGAGACTAGCCAGTCTCCAGGCTGAAGTCATCTCTCCATAGCAGGCTCCGTAGAACACATTCTCTTCCTTTTCTTCTTTTAAAACTGAAAGACCTGATAAATAATAAATAACAGAAGTAAGTTTGGGCTTCCTGCACTAGAGTTAAAATAAAATCCACGGGGGCATAGCATGTTTTGAAATTTTTTTTTTTTACTTTTAGGATTATGCATGTTCTAATAAAGCAAATAAAAATATTTCTTATTGCAAAGATAGCTAGGGACGACCACTAGACTAGAAGGACGAAGAGTCCAGGGTCTTTAGTTATGAAAGGAGCCACTGCTGTCATAAGCAAAGTTGCCTGCTCTCTTGTGGCCGAGTGGCACAGGATAATTGCTATGCTCGCGGGGGGACGGATTATACTTTACTGCCAGGCTTGGGGCAGCTGGCACTGCGCCACCACAAAATAGGGCAGGGCGCTCCGAGGACAGACTGGTAGGTTTGGAGACAGATTCCAACACTTGCTGGCTGTGAGACCTCCAGTAAATCATTACAAACTGTCTTTTCACATCTCTTTCCCTTTTCCCTATGCAGCTGTAGGTTTTTTTCTTCTCCGTTTTTCCTGAACTCTAATCCTTACTGACAAATATTACAGATATAATTCTTCCAGCTTATTTGTCTTAGACTTTGCTTGTGGAGTTTTTGTCGTAACAAAGTTACCTATACGGAGAGCCAAATGGATCCATCTTTTCCTTTATTGCTCCTTGATTTTGTTTTTTGTTTTTTTTTTTTTTTGGTTGGTTGGTTGGTTTTTTTGAGACAGAGTCTCGCTTTGTTGCCCAGGCTAGAGTGAGTGCCGTGGCGTCAGCCTAGCTCACAGCAACCTCCAACTCCTGGGCTCAAGTTATATCCTCCTGCCTCAGCCTCCCGAGTAGTTGGGGCTACAGGCATGCACCACTATACTCAGCTGATTTTTTTCTATATATATTAGTTGGCCAATTAATTTCTATTTCTAGTAGAGACTGGGTTTCACTCTTGCTCAGGCTGGTTTCGAACTCCTGACCTCGAGCAATCTGCCCGCCTCGGCCTCCCAGAGTGCTAGGATTACAGGCGTGAGCCAGCACGCCTGGCCACGCTCCTTGATTTTGAGTCAAAGGTTATAGAGAAAGGTATGTGTTTTCTTCTAATGCTTAAATGGTTCTATGTTTTTATCCACTGTGGTAGCCAGCCTCCAAGGTGACCATCAGTGATCCAAATCTTCTGGCGTTTTCTCCCTCTCACTGAACAGAGCTAACCAGTGTAAATACATGGTACTGTGTAAGTGACAGGGTGTGGCTTTTGAAACTAAGTCATGAAAAGCACCGTGGCTTCTTCCTCGTACGTGGATCACTCTCTGGGGCAGTTCACTACGCCCAAGTCCTGGAGACATCCGAGCAGCCCTGTGGAGCCTCACCCACGTGGTGAGGGACTGGCCTCCTCCCAGCAGCTGTGAGCCAGCCACTGGGGCAATGGATCCTCCAACCCGGCAAGCCCTGGTTGACATGCTGACCACATCCTCATGGGAGATACTGAGTCAGGACCACCATGCCAAGATGCTTTCAAACTCCTGATCTGCGGAAACTGTGAGATAAGGTTTGTTGTTTTAAGCCGAGTTTTGGAGTCATTTGTGAACAGCCATAGGTCATTAATATATCCACAAACTCATTTGCCCTGTGAGCAGAGCGCATTAGATTTGAATGTGATGTTTGCATGTGTTTTAATGCTCAGGGACTGTTCTTTGCTTCTGTTCCGGTCCTGGGCTGCAGTTTAGGTAACTGAGGTTATGTGATGTCATCTCTGGATCCATACATGAACCGGTACTGCTTCATCCTAGAGCCCCTGGAGTATGACAGGCCTAGCAGTGTGCAGGCTTTGCAGACCGTTCTGTGTTGGGTAAGACCCAGTTTCTGTTGCTTTGACATGCACTCCAGGACTTGGCCACCTCACTCAGGAGTAACCAGCCCCTGCGAAAACCAGCTGAAGTCAGAAGGAACCTTTGCACCTACACAGTCATGGTGTTATTTTACAGTGAGGGGAATAAAGTGTTCTTTCATAAGGAACTTAATCCCTCTGTGAATGGTCAGTCACCTGTAAAATGGTGATAACTGTTTCCACTTTAGTAAGGATCATACAACTGATAACTGTACTTATCAAGTCCCTAGTGCCTCACAGCCAGTAAGTGCTTAGTTAAGTATTAACATTATTGCTCCTGGGATCGAAGAAATGTTACTTCAACCACCAAAGCTAGAATCTTAACTCCTTCCTCTGCAGAGTCAAGCCGTTGCCACCTTGGACCAAGTCTATCCCCTAAATCAGGGGTCCTCAAACTTTTTAAACAGGGGGCCGGTTCACTGTCCCTAAGACCGTCGGAGAGTGCGCACCATGGGCCCGGGATGAGTTGCCTACTAAGCAGGACAGGCAGCAGTGGCAAAAACACCCGGAAGGCGGGATAAGTGTGCTAGGTGGCCCGCGGGCTGTAGTTTACTCCTTTCTCCCCACCCCATGGCCTCTCCACAGCCACTCTCCACGTTCAGGCCCTCATTATTTCTTGCGTAGCACACTCTATAGGGCTCCAGTCCAGGTCCATCCAATTGAGTCCCTATGCTGCCGGTAGAGTGACCTTTGAAGACATCAACTTGATCATGTCACCACTTTTCATGGCTTCCCGAGGTGCATAGTATTGGAATCACCAGAAGGGTAGGGGATTGTTAAAAATACAGGCTCAATAGTACCACACCCTAACTCTACAATAACTTTAGGAATGATTGTTTCAGAGTAGAGAGTTTAGTGTTTCAAAGTGGAGAGAAGCAGTTCAGGAAGAGGTCCCCAACCGTGGATCTCTGGAGATGCAATTTGGATGGATCCTCCCGGTAGGACACGAGTCCTCCCTTGACTTCTATGTGTGCTTTTCTCAACACGTGGCCCCATTTTCTGTTTCTGTGGATGCAGTAAGTACACAGGCATTTGCACCTTTAGAAAATTATGCTAAAAAAAAACAAAAGAAAATGTTGATAACAAAAATCAACATAAGTCAGGCTGGGTGGCACGGTGGCTCACGCCTATAATCCTAGCACTCTGGGGGGGGGGGGGGACTGCTCAAGGTCAGGAGTTCCAGACCAGCCTGAGCAAGAGTGAGACCCCGTCTCTACTAAAAAATAGAAAGAAATTAATTGACCAACTAAAAATATATGGAAAAAATTAGCTGGGCATGGTGGCACATGCCTGTAGTCCCAGCTACTGGGGAGGCTGAGGCAGGAGGATCAATTCAGCCCAGGAGTTTGAGGTTGCTGTGAGCTAGGCTGACACCATGGCACTCTAGCCAGGGCAACAGAGACCCTGTCTCAAAAAAAAAAAAATAATCAACCTAAGTGAAAGCGGTGGCAGGATCTTGTCGTCCCAGCTACTTAGAAGGCTGAGGAGGGAAGATTGCTTGAACCCAGGAGCTGGAAGCTGCAGTGTGCTATGATCATGCCTATGAATAGCCCCTGCATTCCAGCCTGGCACGATATTGATACCCTGTCATTTAAAAAAAAAAAAAATCAACCTACATATTGCCCGTGCCACCTGTGGATTCTCCCCAGGAACTAACCCATATTAAAATAATGGTTTGTAAACAAGGCTCAGCAGTATAGTGCCCAAAAACATAAGGAATGTGTGATCAATTATATCAGCAATTATGGGAGAAGCTGTCAATGACCGATAAGTTGTCAAAGAGAAGATTCGGGATTTAAACAGGCTCTTTCCAAAAACATCATAATGCCGTTCTTGGAGGTGGGAGTCTTCTAGCCACTACAAAGATGGAGTGGAGAGAAACGCCCTTCTCTAGGTGTGGCTTAAATATTGCCCATCAAAATGACCTAAGATGTGTAAGGTGGTCCCCAAGTGCCCCGACAATATCCTGCCGTATCCAGAACGTTAAGACAAATTACCACCCTAGAGGGCAGGGACTCTGGAAGGACCTTTCACAGTCCGGCTGTGCAGTGGGAAATTTGTAAATTGCCATCTGGCATCGGTTTCTCCCTGCCATGGTTCGTGGGAGTCCGCAAAGCTCAGACACCTGTCCCTTGAACTTGCCCTCTCCCCTCCCCAAGGAGGCGCGCGCACACGCGGACCCCTGTTTAGGCGACAAAGACGCGGAGCCTTCGGGTGTTAGCGGCGCCAGCGGGCCTGGCTTTGCCTCCCGTTGTTGCCCTGGCTGGTCGCGCGCGCCCTAAGCGCCGGTGCGCGTCGGTGCGCTTGGCCCGGTGCCCCGCGTGGGGACAAGGCAGCCCTCCTTCGGGAATCTGTGCGTGACAGCGGCCCGCTGGCGGCCGTGACGGCCCGTGTCGCGCGAGGGCCGCCCGCTGGCCCGAGGGCACCCGAGGCGGTGCCGGCCCGGGCGGGCCCCGCCCTCCACAGGCGGGCTCGGGCGGGAGGGACAGCGAGGGCGCACGGCGCCGGCTGCTCGTCCCCGGGCGCAGCGAGGTCGCGGGGTGCCGGGGCCGGGGTAGGGGTCGGGGCCGGGGTCCGCCCGGAGGGTCCCGCCGCGCCATGAGCGGCCCCCTGCGGCCGGGCCCCAGCGGCTGGCGGCGGGCGGCCACTGTGGTGCTGGCGGGGCGGACGCGCCGGCGCCGCGCGCGCGCCGTCCGCCGTCCCGCCGCCCCGAGGGCTTCCGGCGCTGCTGCTGCGCCGCTCGGCGAGCCAGGGCTTCATGCCGGGCGCGCACGTGTTCCCGGCGGCTGCTGGACGCGGCCGACCGCGCGGCCGAGTGGCGCCGGCTCCTCGCGCCCACCGGCGCGCGCCCGCCTGGGCCCCGCGCCGCCCGACGGGGACGCGGACGCCGCGGCGCTGCCCGATGACGTCGCCTTCCGCATCTGCGCCATCCGCGAGGCCTTCGAGGAGGCGGGGGTGCTGCTGCTGAGGCCGAGGGGCGCCCCGCCGGCGCCCGCGCCCGCGCCCGGCCGCGCCCTCGACCCGCCGCCCGGCCTGGACGCCTGGCGCGAGCGCGTGCGCCGGGACGCGCGCCGCTTCCTGCACCTGTGCGCGCACCTGGACTGCGCGCCCGACGTCTGGGCGCTGCACGCCTGGGGCGGCTGGCGCACCCCCTTCTCGCGCGGCCTCTCGCGCCGCTTCGACACCGCCTTCTTCCTGTGCTGCCTGCGCGAGCCGCCGCCCGTCCTCCCCGACGCGGCCGAGGTGGTGGGCTGCCAGGTAGGGCTCTCCCCCGGGGGCGGGGCCACCGCCGGGACTCGAGGGGGACCCCTTCCCAAGGCGGACCCTTTATGGAGGACCCCTTCCCAAGGAGGACCGCCTTCGCAAGGCGGACTCCCTTCCCAAGGAGGACCCCTTCTCAAGGCGGACCCTTTATGGAGGACCCCTTCCCAAGGAGGACCCCCTTCGCAAGGCGGACCCCCTTCCCAAGGAGGACCCCTTCCCAAGGAGGACCCCTTCCCAAGGAGGACCCCTTCCCAAGGAGGACCCCTTCCCAAGGCGGACCCCCTTCCCAAGGCGGACCCCTTCCCAAGGAGGACCCCCTTCCCAAGGAGGACCCCCTTCCCAAGGCGGACCCCTTCCCAAGGAGGACCTCCTTCCCAAGGAGGATCCCTTCCCAAGGAGGACCCCTTCCCAAGGAGGACCCCCTTCCCAAGGAGGATCCCTTCCCAAGGAGGACCCCCTTCCCAAGGCGGACCCCCTTCCCATTGAACCCTTCCCAAGGAGGACCCCTTTCCCAAGGAGGAACCCTTCCCAAGGAGGACCCCTGCTGGCAGCCAGGGCCCTCCGGGTCAGGGACCGAATGAGGGGGGACCAAAACATGCCCTTGGTGAAGCGCCTTCTGCTCACCCCACCCCGCTTCTCAGTCCCAAGGCCTTGCCTCTCCCCATGCGCTTGTCCCGGGAGGGCCACTGCGGAGGTCCCATCGGGCTCTGCACAGGGCTTTATATGTGATTTCAGTCTTTATTTAAGTTTAATGAGACTTGCCTTATGGCCACAAGTATGCTCTATCTTAGTGAATGTTCCCTTCTTCACCTGTGAAGAATATACTGCTGTTTGATGGTGCGTTTGTAAAAATGTCAAGTTAGGTTGAATTGGTTGGGAGCGTCTTTCAGTTCAATCTTCCACGTCGTTTACTTGTCCCAGCTAATACAAGGGACTGCATACACATTTAGGACTGTTAAGACTTGATGGACCGACCCCTTGATTGTTATAAAATATCCTTCTTTACTCCTGGTAATATTTTTGTTCTTAAATCTGAAGTTTACTCTGATATTAATACAGTCACTCTTTACTTTGATTTGCATTACCAGGCTGGCGTGCAGAGGCGTGATCGTAGCTCACTGCAGCCTCAAATGGGCTTAAGGAACCTTCCCACCTCAGCCTCTGCAGTAGCCGGGACTATAGACACGTGCCACCATGTCTGGCTAATTTTTTAAAAAAAATTTTTGTGCAGATGGGGTCTTGCTGTGTTGCCCAGGTTGGTCTCGAACTCCTAGCCTCAAGCAGTCCTCCTGCCTTAGCCTCCCAAAGTGCTGGGATCACAGGTGCTAACCACTGTGCCCAGCCCTAATAAACAATCCTTAACCTGGTCTGGACCAGTGGCTCTCAACAGGGGTGATTCGCCCACCCTGTCCCCAGGTGCACTTGGCAGTGTGTGGAGACATTTTTGGTCCTCACAACTGGGGGGTTGCTACTGCCATCTAGTGGGTAGAGCCCAGGGAGGCTGCCCTATTTAAGTGTACAGGACAGCATCACAACAGAGTTAGGTGGCCTAGTGTCCGTAGTGCTGAGGTTCAGAACTTACTGGAAACAGAGTGCAGTTTGGAGTGAGACATCCCCGGAGTCTGAAGCCCAGATTTTCTACTTAAAGGAGCTCCCTGAGTTTCCTCATCTGTAAAATGGGAGTATGCAGCGTTACCCTAAGGACTGGAAACATTTTATGTGAAGCATAGCGAGCAGTGCTTTCCTGATGACAAGTAGCTGACAAATGATGACCTTCTGTAACCTATGCTCTGGAATAACCTGAACAGGTTGGATTAAGTGGGTTGATGCGCATCATTTAGCTCATCCATGTTGGTAGTTATCTCTGATCTCACACGGTTGCTTTGGAAATAACTTAGAGAGATTGGGTGGTCCTTTGAGGCCCAGGACTTTGTCTTGTTTGTTTAAGTAGTTTTAGCCAACTTCAGAGTGATTTGGCATGCTCATTAAACTCATAGATCGCTGGACCCCATATCAGGGCCCCGGGAACGTGAGGTTCTTAACAGGCCCCTCAGGAGATGTTTAAGCACATACAAGCTTACTCGCCTTTGACCTATAGTCATCCAAGGCAGAAATCAGTTTCAACTCACTGGCCTTGGGGGTGGGAATCAGTTTCCTCCAGTGTAGGTGGATGTTTAGAAAACTGATTAAAGGAGGACTTTTGGGGGTTGTTCCATATTCATTGAGTCATTGAGCTCTTTTTTATCTAACTGTCTCTGGAAGGAAGGCTGGAGTAGGAGAGCAGGTTGCAGCGGTGAAGCCACTTAAGTTTAATGGGCAAACACTGCCTGGTTGAAACTCTGCAGCGATCACACTTGCTGGACTGTAAGCTCAGGCCTCTCCACCTTCCTTAAAGCTGGTACTGCTACCTCCTTTGTAACGTGGGACACATCACCCTGTAGTTTGGTTGCTGTAGTTGAGCTTTTGTTGTGGCCATCCTCAGGGCTTAGCCAAGGTGCCCCCTTTATTTTATTATTTTAGTTTTTGAGACAGGGTCTTGCTCTGTCACCCAGGCTGGAGTGCAGTGGCGCAATCACAGCTCGCTGCAGCCTCCAACTCCTGGGCTCAAGCGGTCCTCCCGCCTCCGCCTCCCAAGCAGCTGGGATTACAGGTGTCAGCCACTGTGCCCAGCCAAGGTTCCCATACCAGCAGGGACTGAATTCTCAAACTACTGTGATGATTTTACTCTTCAGAGTCTTCTTCCTTCAGGAGTGTCCAGGACCACCTTGCCCTCAGCATCTTCTGCCATTTAGTGCTGAAAAACTGTCCCAGGTCAAGCCTTGGTGGTCTGTCCTGGTTTATTTGCTAGTTCTCAGGATCACTGTCCCGATCATCAGCTTCTCTTTTTTTTTTTTTTTTTTTTTTGAGACAAGAGTCTTGCTCTGTTGCCCAGGCTAGAGTGCTGTGGCATCAGCCTAGCTCACAGCAACCTCAAACTTCTGGGCTCAAGAGATCCTCCTGCTTCAGCCTTCCGGGTAACTGGGACTACAGGCATGCCCGGCTATTTTTTCTATATAGTTTTAGTTGGCCAATTAATTTATTTCTATTTTTAGTAGAGACGGGTCTCGCTCTTGCTCAGGCTGGTCTCGAACTCCTGACCTTGAGCGATCCTCCCGCCTTGGCCTCCCAGAGTGCTATGATTATAGGCGGGAGCCACCGCGCTGGGCCCCACTAACCAACCTCTTAAGAGGAACAATCTAGCTTTCTTTTTATAAAATTTTTTTATTTTTTCAAGTCAATTTGGCCTTGGAAAATCCAGCTTCCTTCACCAAATCTTTCATGTTGTCTCAGAGGGCTCTCCTAAGGCAAATTAATGGGTTCATCTTATATCTTCAATTAGCTCTTAGGTACTGACCTAACAGTCTCAGATCTTACCTTGTCTACGGCACCTTGTCTTCCACAGTGGCTCTCTCCATCTGAGGCGACTCACAGTTTCCTGTCAAAAGAGATTTGGTTGGCACCCCCGCAGTTCTACGAATTAAGACGACTTGAAAACTTCGCCTCTCTGTCTGACTTGCACAAGTTTTGTTTGGATGGTGCATTAGAAGGGCTGGAAAGGTGGCTGCCGGTGACATTGGTGACAGCTGATGGGATGCTCCAGCTTTTACCAGGTAGATCAGTGAAGCAGAGATGCTTTCGTGAGTGTTTCTATTCAGTGCACTGGGCCGGGCCGCATGGCAGTTTGCTCAACCGAGACATGAATTAGTCTGTGTTTTATTTTTATTTTTTGAGACAGAGTCTCGCTTTGCTGCCCAGGCTAGAGTGAGTGCCGTGGCATCAGCCTCGCTCACAGCAACCTCAAACTCCTGGGCTCAAGTGATCCTCCTGCCTCAGCCTCCCGAGTAGCTGGGACTACAGGCATGCACCACCATGCCCGGCTAATTTTTTCTATATATATTAGTTGGCCAATTAATTTCTTTCTATTTATAGTAGAGACAGGGTCTCGCTCTTGCTCAGGCTGGTTTCGAACTCCTGACCTCAGGCAATCTGCCCGCCTCGGCCTCCCAGAGTGCTAGGATTACAGGCGTGAGCCACCGCGCCCGGCCTTGTGTTTCTATTCAGTGCACTGGGCCGCATGGCAGTTTGCCCAACAGATACATGAATTAGTCTATGTTTTAGAGCCTACAGGGTTTTAATTAAATAAGGTCAAAGTTTATAAAATAGTCATGTTATTGTAACCAGAGTCTGAATAATGCCATAAACATACCTATATATTTATATAAATATTTTCTAGACATTGAAAAATTTTTCTCATATTATCTTACTTTTTTACATTTTAATTTTGAATTACGAGAATTTGTAAGTTGTCGATTTATTTGAATTAGGGAACTTGCTTAGGGTCAATTGCTGTTGGGCAGATGGAGCTTTTGTGGCAGTTTGGGGAGGGGCCTTGTGACCTGTCTTCGTGGCTGCCTGCTCAGTCCTGGAGTAGTGATGGGGACTGTTGCTCCATCCACAGGTGGATAATTCAGCAGTTTTGATGTAATTTCTCTAAATTAACCTTGAGATTATCAAAATGGCCCACATTGAAACACCAAAAGTATATGGATATCAAGGCCAGTATTAATGTCAATATCAAAGAGAATGAAGAGAATCATGAACTGTATAAAAGTTTTGGTTCACGGTGAAAATATGCCAGTCACAAATGTTTCTGTGTCTGCAGGAAATTCTTAGCTGGGGAGTTGGGGGAATATTAAAAACACAAGAAAGAAATTGAGATACATTCATAAAATTAGGGTTATTTAGCTACTGCCTCACTTCTGAAAACACTAAATAGGTAAAAATAAGGACTGATTTACATTTCACTACTATATTGGAACGATTTATAAAACGATACTTTATGGAATTAACATTTTGTCATTTTTCAGGCGATGAGCTGTACGTAGAAGATGCAGACTCATTAGAAGAGGTTTTGTCTACTGAAAAAAAGACTGAAGAAATCATGAAGGAAGGCAAGAAATTTCACCGAATAGTGATGTACAACAAATATCTCTATAATCTCCACGTGACTATTTCATCAGAGAATAAACACATTTACCCTAAGAACTACGTAGTAGGAGCAAGCCGTTTGTAGGGTGCCTACTTGCAGTGTCCTAATGAGTAAGGAAGGGTGACTACATTTTCCTGAAACCTTGGAACTTTGTGCCTATAAAGGTTGTTTCTTACTTCGGGTGTTTTATGGAGCTCTCTTGCTTATTGTATTCTTTTAACCTTACAGTGTGCCACAAGTATAAAGTTTATAAAGTATAAATGATCTTGTTACCAAAACAAAAAAATTTCACAAGGGTTCCCACTGCTATATGGCTTTTTTTGTTTGTTTGAGACAGAGTCTTACTCTGTCACCTGGGCTAGAGTGCCATGGCGTCATCATAGCTCACTGCAGCCTCACACTCCTGGGCCCAAGAGATCCTCCTGCCTCAGCCTCCCGAGTAGAGTAGCTGGGACTACAGGCATGCGCCACCGCACCTGGCTAATTTTTCTGTTTTTAGTAGAGACGGGGTCTCGCTCTTGCTCAGGCTGGTCTGGAACCCCTGAGCTCAACCGATCCTCCCGCCTCGGCCTCCCAGAGTGCTAGGATTACAGGCGTGAGCCATGGTGCCCGGCCTGCTATATTGTTTTATTATTTCAAAAGTTTAAATAAGATGTCCTTTTACCATTGTTGTTCTAACTGTTGTTCTAAGTGTATTAGCACTTTCCCTGAGGTGCTTTGGAGATCGATCCATGAATTTCTTAGACTTTCTATTGGAATTGGTTTAAGGGTGTCTGATTAGGGAGCGAACAGTAGACTGAGACAACCTTCAAGTAATAATGTCTTGTTTTCTTGCTATGTCTTTAGCTTAATGATTAAGATTCAATTATTTTTAAAATCCAATGGCATTACTTATTATGTTTCCCAAATGAAATTTGTTGTAATAAATATTTTAAAGAAATAATGAAGCCATAACAAAAACCATTATTATTTCTACTCCAGAGTGTTAATGAATGAAAAGAGGTAAGAGAGGTGTAATGTTTAATTAGTGATGTTTATTTTCAGCATGTTTAATATGAGTAATTTTTTACCTCCTTTAAAGATGAATAAAGTTTATTGACTAAAGGTGGGAAATGATAGATTCTAATTCTGTTTCAAGATCTCTGACTTATGTTATACATTGTACAATGGATTTCATTTTCGTGTAGCACCTTAGTTTTCCTATCTACAAAATAAAGCCAATGATAAATTAGTTTATGTGTATTATTTAATCCTGATTAGAGGAATATATCTGGAGCAGTGGTTCTCAACCCAGGCACTTTTGCCCTGCGGGGGCATTTGGCTATGTCTGGAAACGTTTTTTTGGTTCTTACAGCTGAGAGCAGGATGCTACTGCCACCCGGTGGGGAGAGGCCAGGAATGCAGTCAAGTCACCCACAATGCACAGGACCGCTGCCCAGAGCAAAGAATTATCTGGCCAAGGGTGAGAAACCCAGATCTAAAGTAAAATCTCTTTTTTTTTTTTTTACCTCCAGCAAATGCTTCCAATATGTAAATTTTAGGAACCACGGAGACTGTTATCATTGTATGTGGCTTCTGAATTTTTGGCCTTGGGCATAATGCCCTTTCATTCTCGGAATGTCACTCATAGCTGGAAGGGGCCTCAATGAACACCATGATTTTGCCAGTGAGAAAACGGAGAACAAGATTTACGGAGCCAGTTAGCACCACAGCCGAAGGAACCCGACGCCTGGTCCTGCTCCTTTTTCACTGGAGTTGCTGCGGCTCAGTGGGTGATTTTAGGGGATGTTGTTATAAAGTAACGTGACCGGTTTTTCTTCATAGAAAAGATATACTTTTGTTGTTTTTAATCTGAATGAACCTTGTCTCCTAAGAGCTCCTTTTGGGTCACTGCCACATGACTTCCTACCTATGGTGAAAGGTGATACCTTGCCCCCTTCAGCCCAAAATAATAGGGTTGACCTCATGAGCTGAAACATTATGTTGTTCTAGAACCCAGCTTGCATGGACTGCTGATGCCTCCACTCCATGCCATCTGATCCAGGGCACAGCCAGGACAATTCATTTCCTATAATACCACACATTTCCTGAAACTACAGTTATAAACTCAGGAATGAGCACTAAGTCAGTATATATTTCCATTGCCTCCCTTTTTTTGGCTGAATCTTTTGGATGACTCGAATCAGCATCCAGAATGGGGCTGGTATTGATATTTTAGGCAAACGTGCCTTGTCCACAGAGTTTCTGCTTTTCTTTTTTTGAGACAGCGTCTCATTCTGTTGCCCAGGCTAGAGAGCAATGGTGTCATCATACATCACTGCAACCTCAAACTTCTGGGCTCAAGTAATCATCCTGCCCCAGCCTCCCAAGTAGCTGGGACTATACCAGTGTGCCACCATGCCCGGCTTAGTTTTTTTGTATTTTTGTAGAGATGGCATCTCATATATTGCTCAGGTTGGTCTCGAACTCCTGGCCTCAAGCCATCCTCCAGCCTTGGCCTCCCAAAGGGCTAGGATTACAGGCATGAGCCACTGTGCCTGGCCACACAATTCTTTGTTAATAAAAAAAAATAATTCAGAGTGCCCTATAATATGGGAAATGTAGTAAGGACTCTAATATAAGGGATAATTTCTGGGGGAGAGGAAGCTCTCATATTTGGGCATAAGTAGTTATTAATACTTCATACTCTTTCATCTCTATTTTTTTCAACTTCTCTGTGACCTTTGACAGTCTCCATTCCTCTTTACTCCCCCCTTAGCCACTACTCTGTCCTCGTTTTAAGTTTCTTCTCTAACCTTTAGATGTGAGAGTCCCCCTTGGTCCTCGTCCTCAGACCCACTTCTCTCCCTGGGTGCAGTCAATGGCTTCCAGGTCATATCCTTGAAGGAGGAAACTGCCTGCCTTCCACTTCCTCTTCTCCCTTCCCACTGGCTAGAACTGGTGACAACTGGAGCAGCTGGCTGGGGCGACAGAAGCTGAGTGTTCAGGGACAGCTGCCTGCCAGCGCTGGACTGCTCACTTCTTGCTTTTACATGAAAGAAAATACACTTCTATTTTACGGAAACTACTATATTTTTGGATCTCTTTGTTAAAACAGTTCCGCTTGGTCCCTAACCTATTTTCCCTGGAGCAGTTTGCCGCAGCACCGTCTTCCTTATATCAGACGTCTCCTACTTACTCAAGCTAGAAATCTGAGTCATGTCCGATTCCTCCCTTTTCCCCATTCCTTTGTGCAGGAGACTGGCAAGTCCTGTGGATTCTGTGACCCAGGTATATCTTGCATCCTTCTTCTGACCTCTGCACTGCTGTCACCCGTCAGAAAGGTCCTTTGGCTCCTCAACGGTTCAAAGCTCTCTCTCGCCTCAGAACCTTTTTGCAGTCACTGTTGCTTTGAGACAAATCTGGAACTCTGAACTGTTTTTGTTCCCGGGTCTCTTTGTTACTATAGCCTAACAAAAACAGATATTGAAAATAGCAGATGGCATCCAGTAGGGGGCATAGCTAAAAAGAAAATTCCAGAACAAGTGGAAACACATTATTTGGAGAAGAGAATGAAGTTCTCCTGAGCTAAAGAAAAATGTTGATCTTCACATCTCAAGATCAAGTCCCTCGTGGTCAAAAAATTAACAAAAATTGTCTAATACGTGGATGACATTTTGGATGTCAGAGACAAAGAATGCCGCAGATTTTCAGGAAGAGCAGAAATGACAAAGGTACAGAATCAGGCTTCACGGAGCCATGGAATGCACTGGACAGGAATTCACTGATAGAAACACTATATGTGACTGGAAGATCAATCAAAAGCTTTTGCAGTAGCAGGGCATGGTAGAAGCCCTGATGGTGAGTTGTGGAAATCCATTAACTATAGGAAGTAAGTCTGAATAATTAAAGTTGGCTAAAAAGCACCGCAAATGTTAAAAATAATGCACTTTTAAGCCTATTTTGAAAAATGCAAAAACCACCTTTTTCATAAAAATAATTTGGTTCAGTAATCCCAGCTTATATTGTCATAAGCAGGAGTGGCCTTATGGGAGGAATAGGAAAGAACGTGAGAGTGGGGAGTCTATAGGTTTGTGACCATAGAGAAATATCTGTTAAAGTGTTTTTAAATGCAAAAGTAGTTAGTAGAGGCTAGGTTTGGTGACTTACGCCTGTAATCCTAGCACTATGGGAGGCCGAGGCAGACGGATTGCTCAAGGTCAGGAGTTCGAAACCAGCCTGAGCAAGAGCAAGAGCAAGACCCCGTCTCTACTATAAATAGAAAGAAATTAATTGGCCAACTAATATATAGAGAAAAAATCAGCTGGCCTTAGTGCGCATGGTCTGGTCGTCCAAGCACTTGGGAGGCTGAGGCAGGAGGATCACTTGAGCCCAGGAGTTTGAGGTTGCTGTGAGCTAGGCTGACACAACGGCACTCACTGTAGCCTGGCAACAAAAGCGAGACTCTGTCTCAAAAACAAACAAACAAACAGACAAAAAAGTAGTCAGTAGAATTAAAAAGAATGGCCACTTTTAGGAACAGCTTTCATTGCTACCTGTGCCGTGGCCTGGCCGTATTTGTGCCAGCCCAGTATTAAACCTTTCTGCATTTCTGATTAAGCCTCACCGCCTACTTGGCCACGGCTTAACTTTTTAAACAAAAGGTGTCCTGGTTTTACACGGTAGCATTTTATTTGGGATTTCAGCACCTATACTGATAAGGGAAATTAGTCTGCAGTTCTTTGTCAGGTTTTAGTGCTGGGATTTAACTGCCTTATAAAAATGGATCCTCCCATCTCAGTCTCTCAAGTAGCTGGGACTACAGGCGTGGGCCGGTTTAACTCAGGTGCTGCTGTTTCCACCATTTTTTTTTTTTTGAGACAGAGTCTCACTTGTTGCCAGGCTAGAGTGAGTGCCGTGGCGTGGCGTCAGCCTCGCTCACAGCAACCTCAAAACTCCTGGGCTCGAGCGATCCTCCTGCGCTCAGCCTCCCGAGTAGCTGGGACTACAGGCATGCGCCACCACGCCCGGCTAATTTTGGTCATATATATTAGTTGGCCAATTAATTTGTTTCTATTTATAGTAGAGACGGGGTCTCGCTCTTTCTCAGGCTGGTTTCGAACTCCTGACCTCGAGCGATCCTCCCGCCTCAGCCTCCCAGAGTGCTAGGATTACACGAGTGAGCCACCGCGCCCGGCTGCCCCCCATGTTTGACGTCTTCATCCTTCAGGTGAGCTGGTTTTGCCTGATGCCTTGATTGAGGGCGACCCCTCGTTAGCCCAACGTCAGCAACAGGTGAACCTCATGCATCTTGCAGCTGTGTCTTCCTTCCTACCGGTGGTCACGCATTTCCCCCGCTCAGATCATCCAGCTTTTAAGCTTTTAAGCACATTATTTGTGGGACCTTGTGGGATTAAGCTTGCTCTTAAAACTGGGTGCTTGTGTGTGAGCATGCGGGTCCCCAAGTAGGAACTCCACAACTCCCACCCTCTTCCTGCACCGGTGCCACCTCTTGCCATCCTGTTGGTTGGCTTACTGGCAAATTAACGCGTTCTGATGTGCGCTTAACAAACGTCGTGTCTTCACAACTGAAACCCATGGAAGATCCCAGCTGCGGACCCTTCTGGGCCACACATCTTATTATTCGTTTTGGCTGTGGTGCCTCCGAGTCTTAAGGGACATTGTCTCACTTCCTTCTTGTCTGTGGGCTTATTCGTGTCCTGGAGGAAGATCCCGGGGCTGTTCTGAGAGCTCACGTTCCCTGCGTGCTTCTCGAGGGTCCTGTGTGTCACGCCACGTGATGTCATATAATCCCGGGGGCCACTTCGCGAGTCCCCCAAGTTTTAGATGAGAAAGCTGAGGCCTGGAAGTGCCCAAAGCCCCCGCCCCTGTGCCGGCTCGACAACCAGCCACGGGTGGTGGCTCTAAGCCGCAGGCTTCGGTGGTGACAAGGATGCCGGTGACAGACACTTGGAGTGGCGGGCCAGCTGTGGAGAAAGCCGGGACGCTTTCCGGGAGCCGCAGGTCAGGGAGGAACGTCGCCAGGAGTCCACGCAGACCCGGGGGGCGGTGGCTGCCCGCGCTCTGCTCCTTGTCACCACAGGCTTCCCGCCCGACAGGCGGGTCCGGCAGTCACGGGAGGTCGTGGGCGGGGCCGGGAGGGACGGCTGTGGAGGTCGTGGGGGTTGGGGACAGGGGGTCCGGTCTGGGGAGGTCGTGGAAGGGCAGGTCCCGGCTGTTGTGGGAGGTCGTGGGGGGGGCTGGGACAGGCGGTCGCGCGCTGTCTGCAGTCGTGGAGGGGTTTGTGGGGCGTACAGGCTGTCCGGCAGTCCCGTGAGGGGTGGGCGGTCAGGCGGTGGCAGTCGTGAGGAGTCGTGGGGCGGGTACAGGCGGGTCCGGCAGACGTGAGGGGTGGGTGGGGGCGGTACGGCGGTCCGGCAGTCGTAGGGTCGTGGGGGTACAGGCTGTCGCAGACGGTGAGGGTCGTGGGTCGTACAGGCGGTCGGCAGTCGTGAGGGGTCGTGGGGCGTGTACAGCGTCCGCAGTCTTGAGTCGTGCGGGGACAGGGGGTCCGGCAGTCGTGATGATCGTGGAGGCAGGACAGGCTGTCGGGCTGTCGGCAGTCGTGAGGGGTCGTGGGAGGCAGGACAGGTGTCGGGCTGTCGGCAGTCGTGATGGGGTCTTTGGGAGGGGTACAGGCGGTCCGGTCGTGTGGCGGGGACAGGCGGTCCGGCAGTCGTGAGGGGTCGTGGGCGGGGACAGGCGGTCCGGCAGTCGTGAGGGGTCGTGGGGAGGCAGGGACCAGGCGGTTCCGGCAGTCTTGAGGTCGGTGGGAGGCAGGGACAGGCGGTCTGACAGTCTTGAGGGGTCGTGTGGGGGCGGGAACAGGCTGTCGGCTGTCGGCAGTCGTGGAGTCTGGGAGGCGGGTGGACAGGGCGGGTCGGTCGGTGGGGCGACAGGCGGTCGCAGTCGTGAGGGGTCGTGGGCGACAGGCGGCCCGGCCGTCGTGGTCGTGGGGGCGGGACAGGCGGGCCGGTCAGTAGTGGGAGTCGTGGGGCGACAGCGGCCCTGCCGTCGTGGAGCGGGGCCGGGTTGGGCGAAGCGCGCGACGCCCTGACGCCGGGCCGTCCCTCCCCGCGCGCGCGCTGTGCGGCCGGGCGTGTCCGGCCGTTGGTTGCCCACGTTGGTCTCGAACGGCAGGCCGGGCGAGGCGGGGGGCGCCCCGCGCGGCGTCAGCAAGCAGGACGGGGCGTCGCCTCAGGCGTGCGGGCGGGCGGCCTGCGAGCGGGCGCGGGCCGCGAGGCGCACCGGCGCGAGCTGTGCGGGGCCGTGCGGGGCCGGCCGAGCGCGCCCCGGCGCCGCCGCGAAGATGCTCGA